CAAGGGAAGGCAGTTGGAGGCAATCAACACTGTAGGGGAGAGCAGTTAGGGGTAGCCAGGCGGGCAGAGGAGGGAAGTTAAGGGCAAACAGGCTGGCAGGGGAGCAGTTAGACATCAATCAGGCTGGCAGGGGAAGGGGTTAGGGGCAATCAGGAAGGCAAGCAGGCAAGCAGTTGGGAGCCAGCAGTCCTGGATTGTGAGAGGGATGTCTGACTGCCTGTTTAGACCCGATCCCAGAGAGGGTGTGGGCAGTTTAACATCTCTCGAGGGGTCCCAGATTGGAGAGGATGCAGGCTAGGCTGAGGGACACCCCCACCCAATGCACGAATTTCATGCACCGGGCCACTAGTATATTATAAAGATCTAAGTAGCCTAGGTAACTGGCTATGCCCTTTGTTAGTGGAGAAAGGGGTAATCACTCTTCCCCCAGCAGACAGGTAAATCATCTTCCTGCCAGTATCCATTCTTTAAGGACAATTTTGCATTTGAATGCCTACAATCTTGCTACTCAACTTCCTTTGGCAGAGAAAAAACATGGTCAGTTTACAGTTAATTATTGTATTTTTGAAATTTATTCTTAAAAATATGTGTTAATCAAGAAATGCTAAATATTTGACTTGCCAGTTCTAAAAGTTCAAGATTCAATTAAATTGGGAGAAATTATATAGTTGTTGTTATTCAATGCCTAAAGTATAAACATTTATTGTTGAAAAAATGTGTTTTCTCTGAAAATAATTAGGAATTCAAAATATGTTCCTTATTGGTCTAATTAAATAAGAATATTAATTCTATAATCTCAACCAAATTTTGAATATAAAGACCGTTTTTGGACTGCCTGACTTGGCAGCTGCTATGTTGGCCACATGGCTTGCAGCTCCCCTGGGGGCTGCCATCTTGAGACAGCAAAGGCCAATCCCTCCCTTTGAATAAGTCAATGTCTTTGTAAGCAATTTGATTAAGTCTTCTAAGAAAGTTACTGAAGGCCACCCATGACCCCTTTGTATATGCCAATTAGCCAAAAGGGATACTCTTTAAAAATAAAATTCTAGCTTAATAAAAAGGAGAAATTTGAAAAATTTTAAATCTCTTTCACTGATATTTATAGGGTAAACTAAGATTGTTGTTAGAGTATTAAATCTGACAGTAAAATAGTAGTCAAGTTTACTGTAATAATATTTCTTGTGACATGGCTATTTGGATGCATGAGCAAATATCAAGCAGCAGCCCTGTAGGTTGCTTAGTAAAGAAAAAAAGACAAATATTCTTAAATGAAACTCTTTGTAGCCTGAGAATTATTTTGGAAGGAAATAAAATGAGGTTTTCTTCAAACACCTGAAGAACTGTAATTAAAAGTCAATAAATTTTGCCTCATAAACTGAAGTAAATAATTTGTGTCTTTGTTTCCCTGACAAAGTTTATTTTAAGTTATTAAAAGATTAATTGCAGAGGTCTATTTAATGTCATTCATTGTTCATAACCTCGGACAAGTGAAGTTAAAAAAATAAACCTTATTTCAAATTATTTAATTTGGCTAATAGAAATAAGAGAATATTCATAACAACTTAATTGCACTGGACACAAAAAAAACCACAAACTATTCCTGAAGTATTAACTAAAATTTTTATTGATAGTTCATCTCATAGTAAAATTACCAAACATGCTATGAATCCAAAGCAGTCATATTTCTGGGCAAAAATTAAAATTAAAAGTTATCAAGACTGCATTATAAAATTTCCCAAAGCCTCCTAAATTTAAAAAAAATAAGAAAGGGAGGATAGTGGAAAAATATCCTGTAAGTAAATTATATCAATAAACTTTTACCTTTAAAATTAATTTTCATTTGTAAATGCTAATAGCAAGACACCCATGTAAACACACATGGTGTCAACATAAGCCAAGGGAAAATTGTTTGGGCAAAAAATGAAAAAGGATCCCAAGTCTAATTTATAGAAAAGATTCCTTTATCAACTTTGGTCGGGAATATGTTTGTATATTTCCAGAAAACTACAAGCCCATGTGGATTGCTGCAACAACAGATCCTGGAGAGGAGCTGACCGGATTGCTCCAGCCATAAAGACAAGAGGAGAAACAGTCCAGAAATGAAGATGCTGAAGACACCTTGCCATACTAGCAGCCAGCAGCTGTGTGTTGCTGCAGGTTGCCCAGTGCCAAACCAGAGAGGGTCGGACCTGCGTTGCCACCATTTGTCCACCATCCAGAACTAGCATATCATTGCTGACATGTACACATAAGGAAATGTTGGACATTGAAATTGGGACTCAAAACTGTTGGACATTGAAATTGGGACTCAAGGAACTGTTGGCCCAGAAATAAACTTACTACAGACTGTTTCATTTGCCTTTCAGCATAACCGTTATTGCTTGTCTCATTTTTGTTCTTATAGGTTTATTTCTAGTCTGCAGATGCAAGAATTTTTAAGGGAGAAAAAAAACAACAACAACCCAACAGGGATATGTTGGAAGCTGCCCATTGTCTTTACTAGCAGAGAGATGTGGACAAGGAATCCGGAATGCTGGTCAACCTTGAAGCTCAGAAAGGTCAGAGCCAAGCACACACTGTTTACTTGAGACAATAGTAGCTAAAGCAACTTCCACCTTTTAGTTTTATCTTGCTGATTGGCTATTATTGGAATTGCCTGCCTAAAGGCTATGGATGTATCCCATAGTCTTAATAAAAGGGATAGCAAGGCCAGAGTGGGATAGAGTCCTTCCTCTTGAGCCGGGCTCCTGCCTGGCCCCCAATATTTCCAAATTAATATTTTCTAGTCTCTTTTATTTGTGTGCAGCCTCCTCCAGAGCCCAAACCCTGAACCTCAACCCTAAACCATGCAGAACGTGGGGGAACACTCGCAACTGGCAGCCCAACATAGGGTACTCACACTAGCTCACTTTTCTTTCTGTCATGTGAGGATACAAGTACAAGTTAGCCATCTTCAACAAAGAATATGCTTCTTACCAAAACCTGATCATCTTGGAATCATGATTGTAGATATCTGGCATTCAGAACCATCATAAATAAATTTTGGTTGTAAATAAAAAACCAAATTTAAGGTATTTCATTATAATAGTCCAAACAGTGAGTATGTTTGGAAGGAACTTTGTTAGAAGGTGAAGAAGGGTTTATTATTTGCTTTAAAAATATTCCACTTCAAGTAATTTGCTGCTGATAAAAAGGGGTGGTTCTGCAGAATAGAATAATTTCAAAGATGTCTATATAATCATGAAGCAGGTAGGGAGGGAAAAAAGGGTCAAGGATCTAGGTAACTGATAAAATATAAATCATAGTTCCTCAGACATTCATCAATTTCTTTTGTTGCCTTGGAGGTGGAGTGTGGGGATAAAAGAGAGAAAACAGTGGATAAAGTTCAAGGCTGCGGTCCTTTTAAAACTTTTGACTAATTGGCTATCTTTGCTTCCAACAATATTTTGTTGTAGGTATGAATTATTAATCCTACTTTACAGACAAGGAAACTGAGGTCAAGAGATAATCTAACAACTGATGTCAACAATCTTCAATGTTCAATAAATATGTCTATTTTTCACATCCATTCCAAGCACCATCATTTCTCACCTTGACTAGAGCAATAACCTTCTAACTGATATTCCTACTTCCATTGTTACTTCCTTACAATCTATTCCTCATACAGTAGCCAAAGTGATTCTTTATAAAAACTATTATTTATTTATTGAGAAACAGAGAGAGAGAGGGGGGGAAAGAGAGAGAGAGAGAGAGAGAGAGAGAGAGAGAGAGAGAGAGAGAGAGAGAGAGAGAGGTCAATTTATTGTTCTACTTGTTTATACATACATTGGTTGATTTTTGTATGTGTCCTGATTGGGGGTCAGACCTGTAACCTTGTCATATAAAGACTATGCTCTAACCAACTGAGCTACCTGCTACCGAGCTAGGGCTCAAAGTGATTCTTTTAAAATATATTTGTTATTGATTTCAGAGAGAGGAAGGGAAAGGGAGAGAAATAACACATTGATGAGAGAGAAACATCAACCAGCTATCTCTTGGGGATCCAGCCTGCAACCTGGGCATGTGCAGTGACCAGGAATCGAACCAATGACCTCTCGGTTCATGGTTCATGGATCAATGCTTACTACTGAGTCACACCTCCTGGGCTCAAAGTGATTTAAAAAAAAATACAAGTCAAACCATGTCATCTCACTGTTCTGAACTCTCCAATGGCTGTTCATCTCACTCAGAATAAAACAATAAATTCACAAAGCCTAAATGATCTTGTCCTTATATAATTCAAAAAGTTCATCTCATGTCATATTCTTTCCTGTTCTCTCTTTTCCAGCTGTATTCCCAGCAATACAATGATACCCAGCCAAAAATAAGCATGCAATAAATATTTGCTGAAATAAATTAGTGAATAAATCAATGAAAGAATATATGCATGTGCCTGAAACAGTGCTGGGAGCCAGCCTCTGAGTGAGTACCCTTTATGCTAGAGGGGCTTTAAGTAGAGGCTAGGAAAATACACAGTATAACCCTTTCTTTTAGAGAACTAACATTCTGAGTATAGAAACAGATTCTCTGCCCACTTGGAAAAACAGTGAGGAACACTTACAGAGCAGTAGAAAGGAGTATAATGCAAACATGATTATATTCTACCCTCAAATATAGGATAAAATGTGCCAGAAACCACATCTTTAGTTTCTTCCTCTTCTCAATATCGATTAATCCCAATTTTTTACCTCGGTTAATCTATATTCTCAGCAATTTCAAATGGTATTAGAAAAATTTGACAAAAGGAAGGGCTTTAGAATAATGCTCAGAAGGTCTGTGGCTTCTGGGGACTATATGGGAAGATGTCTCTCATCACTAGGGTGCAAAGGTGCACCCATATCCCAAGTGCCACTGGAGAGAGAAATCATATATGTGGTAACATGTCTTTTATTGACACTGTGGATTAGAATCATATATGTGCATCTCTCCCCTGATTAAATATCCTTAGGTATGGTACTCACTCTATGGTCATCATCCCATGTGGCCAGAAGTGGTTTTCCAGGCGTTTCTGGGTCTTGATCTCATTCCAATTCAACACAGGTGCATAATCTTCTTCAAAGCCCTGGAAAGAAAGAGGATAAGGGTATTAGTATACTACCTGACCCATGGAATCAAGCATCTGAGAAGTTAATGAAGGCTTACAGGATATTATCTACCCTTCTTCCTTTTTAAGAAGCTGAGTACCTAATACCCAGCTAAAAACTATTCCTCAGTTTCCCTTGAAGCCAGGTGTGGCCCTGTGAAATTTAGATGTGGGCAATTAGGTCATTCCTTAAAAGAAAATTGCTGGTCTTTGATTTACATTTCTTTCAGGCTTGTATGAATATGATCCAGCTATAACCATGTGGATAAAGATAACCCTCTTCAATTTTGATTGGTAATTTTGCTGGATAGAGTATTCTACAATAGGATTCAGTCCTTTGCTTTGCATCAATTTGTATACCTTCTTCCATTCCCTTCTAGCTTGATGTGTTTCTGTTGAGAAATCATTTGATAATCTGATGGGGGATTCTTTGTAGGTAACTATCTGTCTCTCTCTTGCAGCCTTTAAGATTTTTCTCTTTGTCATTAACATTTGCCATTGTAATTTTTGTTTCCTCAAAAAACTAAAATGGAACTCCTATTTTATCCAGTGATTCCACTTCTAGGAATATATGACAAGAAGTTAGATACACCAATCAGAAAGGATATATGCACTTTATGTTCATAGCAGCACAATTCACCATAGCTAAGATTTGGAAACAGCCTAAGTGCCCATCAGCCGATGAGTGGATTAAAAAACTGTGGTACATCTTGTGGATGAAAGGGGCCACATGCTGACCTGACAAGTTCAGGGGAGGCCTGCATGGCAGTCTTGAAAATTAAGAGACCTAAAGTAACCACAAAGGATGGTCTGAAATCAAACTTTAAAAGCAGTTATGGTGAGCAGTTACATCATAGTCTGGTATCTTCACTGACAAAGTCAATCTTTACCTTAACTGAGCCTATCTGTCTTTTTGCATCTATGATAACATACCCTTAAAATGTCTGGGTAACTTGTAAATTCCCTTTTTTTTGGAGCCCCTGGGGCACAACCAAATGTGCTGGGCACCAGGACAGATACCACAGATTCCTTCATTATCATGTTAATTGTTCTTGCACCCATCTAAGTATGTGCCCATCATTTTACTTTTTATCCAATCCCAGGGGTTTCCCACATTTTGCTTTATCCCACCTCCTTAATTTATCACCAATGAATTTCATGTAATTCACCTACATCTCTCCTTTGATTGCAATGTATAAATACAAATGTAATCCGCCATTCTCCGGAGCATTATCTCAATTTGTTGAGGTTTTGCTTACGGGTATATGTCAAAAGTTTGGCTCACAAAAATTCTTTACAGGTTTTAATGGTTTTTTGTTTGTTTGTTTTTTGTATTTTTTTTACATTAACAGTCTACACAATGGAATACTATTCTGTAGTAAAAAAGAAGGAAGTCTTACCATTTGCAATTGCATGGATGGAATTTTATGCTAAGTGAAATAAGCCAGTCAGAGAAAGATAAATATCACATGATCTCACTCATTTATGGAATATAATGAACAATATAAACCAATGAACAAAAACAGATCCAGAGACAGAGAAGCACTGATCACTGTCAAACCTCAGAGGGAAGGTAGGGGAGGGTGGGAGTAAGGGAGAAAGATCAACCAAAGGACTTGTATGCATGCATATAAGACTAACCAATGAACACAGACAACAGGGGAGTGAGGGCATGAGTGGGGGATTGAGGTGTAGGGGGGATGAGGACACATATGTAATACCTTAATCAATAAAGAAATTAAAAATAAATAAAAATAAAAGATCATTTTTAGCTATAAAAAAAATAACCCCCTATGCCCTAAGGAAAAGTAAAGTAACAATAAAAAAGGAACCTATATCTTTAGATTACTTCCTAGAGCTGAGTCATTTCCCAGTATATACTGACCTCTCATTACTCCTGGACTATTATTAAGTGAGAAAGAAACTTCTAACTTTTTAAACACTTTATTTAAAGTTGAAAAGCCATTTTTATTGAGGAATTTGGAGGAAGAAATTTCTATATTGTTAAAATCCTTGTATCTTATGAATTAAAAAGAAAATTGTGGTAGCTTAGCCTATCCCCTAATTAATAAGTTTCTCTGTTAGAGAATAACCCATGTGGAGTCTCAGAGAAGTATTGTTTCTATTTTTGTTCTTGTTATGTTAATTTATGACTGGAGAAAGTGTATACATTTCTTTGGGCCCAAGGGTTTACTTATTTTAACTTCTGCATTGGGTTATTAGATGAAGATAAAACTATCTATGTGTCTTTATTGAAGAATTTATAAGAAAAAAGGATAAACCCTCTGTAAAAAGAGGAAATATTTTCTCCAAACAGCATGGAGGAAAGAGACCTGGATGGCTTCCCAGAAGTCAGTGTTTCCAGCAAAATGGGCCCCCTTCTCCTGGCAAGCACTAGACACATCACACTACTGCCAGCAGCTCTCACCCACCCCTCTTCTCTCTCTTCCCCATCCCACAACCCTGGGTGCTCTACAGCCAGGTACCAATGGCCTCAAAATGGGAGCATTAGTCACAACACTATGCTTCAATTAGACTTTTTCTGTAAGCAACCAGGCAAATAGTCAGAAATTTCTTATGTCCAAACATTTCTCCTATTATGAGAATGGGAGGCTCTCCTCTGGAAATGTACTTATGTTGGCTATATTACAGCCAAACAAAGACCTTATCTTGCAACCCTGCACTAACGGCCAACAATATTTCCTCAGCCACACCCCTGTTCTACTGCCTAAACCTTCTCTCTATCTGGCTATGCCTCAACACATGGAAAAGTTACTCCCTGTCTTTGGAACTAGAAAGATCCTTCCCCTGCCAGGGTCTGCCCTCTGGTGGAAGTGCCAGAAGAATGCAACCCACTGCTTGTCCATAAACCCTTGTTGTTTGTTGAGTTAAAACAAATTAAGGCAGATCTCGGGAATTACTACCCTGTTTCCCCGAAAATAAGACAGTGTCTTATATTAATTTTTGCTCCCAAAGATGCCCTAGGTCTCATTTTCAGGGGATGTCTTATTTTTCCATGAAGAACAATACGGTACACATTTATTGTTAAGTGAAAATAAAGGAAATTTATTACCTGTATACAGTACGGTAGTACGGTAGTTGTCAACACAAATCAAACTGTGAATCCTACAGTATCAAGAATTTACTCATTTATTCAATGACAATCGTGTCATCATCTTCTGGAACATCATCATAACAATCCAATTCCTGAATTTCCTGGTGAATTTCTTGTGACTTCATTTCTTTCAGAATCAGTGGACCACATCTCTCATGTTTAGCAATAACATTCTGAGACAGAGCCTGGGGGGGGGGGGGCTTATTTTCGATGCCTTATACTTCACTCAGAAGGAAACCTGTAAGTAGGTCTTATTTTCGGAGGATGTTTTATTTTCGGGGAAACACGGTATGTTGATGACTCCCAACATATATCTTTAGCCTACATGTAGAAGGAAGTAATAATAATATTGGGCCAAAAGATACTGAACTCTTCTGAAGCTAATAAATCCTTATACCCAAATCCTCCCTCTTCTATAACTCCTTAACTATATCCTTTGCTCTCTGAGCTTCATTGTCTGGACTTATTCTTCCTCTCCTTTCTTACTTACTCTTATATCTCCTCCACTACTAATTCCTACTAACTTAAGGGAAACTGAGAGTAACAATTGTAACAGTTCCCCTTGGAGAAAAGTTGGCCTCAGCCAGAAAAGAACCAACAACTGTTTCTAATTTTCTCCCGGATCCTGATGGGTTCACAAAGAAATTTAACTGTTAGAACATGTAGTTCTGGTTATTCTAACTATTCCAATTAATATACCTACTGGTTTCTGAGAGCAAGGCAGCACAATTGCTAAGTTGGGTCTGCTGGGAAACTGCTAGAGAAGTCTATTTCTATTGTAGAAAACCAGGTCACCTTAAAAACAATTGTAGAAAGCCAAAATGGGACTTAGAAAGAGAAAACAAACCAGAAACAAACATGGAGTTGCTCCAAGGTTGTTTTCCCTGTTCACTGACAATTTAGGAGAAGTTATTGTATTATGAGATGATACTATCTAACAGCTAGGACATGTTTTGTTCTTCCCATAGGAAATGGATAGAGGTTCTGTAGAGGGCTGCCTGGGAAGGCACGTGGGCATTTCTTTTAAATGTTGCCAGCTGAGACTGAGACGATTGGCAGAGCCGTGTCTAGGATACACATTTCCCCAAGATGGTGGAAAGTGTAATCAGCTTGGCCTTCATATTAGCCCAGGTATCGGCAGGGGCAAGACTAGATATGTAAATCCAGGCATGCTAGGGCCTACTTAAGAATGCAAATAAGTTTTGGTGTTACTTCCTGGTATTGGGGGTATAAAATAAATGCACTGGAAAGGTCGTCATCCTCATCTTCCTTCCTCTCCAGCAGACAGAATGGTGGCCCACCCAGCTCCCAGCTTTAAATTTATCTCTGTGTCTTCTCTCTTATTTTCTATTATTGTATTTCTCAATCCCTGGCCACCTCCACTTAGAACCGGTTTGTTCATCTCTCTTTCCGTGCTGTGCTGGATGTGGAAAAGGGAGATCCCTGCCGTGTTTGGCCTCCGTTGCATCAGGCCCCCACAAGGTTCCATATATTTAAGCCTTTATGGTTCTCAGAAGTGACCCTAAGCTATGTGCTATCTATAAACTAGAAAAATATACCCAAGTGGAAATAAACATTATAAAAATGAATAGATGAATTTGTCAGTCCTTTGCCAACATTTGGGTGATAAAACAATCATTGAGGTATAAGAAAACTATGTTTTACAAATGAAGTCTTCACAGAGCCAGAGGTGTGTTTCCAGAAACAATTCAAAGCCTACCAAATCCTTTGACCTTTTCCAAATACCCCTATTCATTTCAATAGGCTTATAGATAACTAGAGGCCTGGTGCATCAATTCTTATACAGGTGGGGTATGGCTGGCCCGCCATGATTGGGCCGGCCCGGGGAAGGGGATATGGGAGG